TATGAATAGATCATATCACTATAATCATAACAATAGATCATATCACTATGAATAGATCATATCACTATAATCATAACAATAGATCATATCACTATAGTCACTAAGAAGAGATCATGGTTGGATTTAAAATTGAACTGAGGGAGTTGACATCTGGAGACACACGTATAATCTCTCCCTCTGGGACATTGTGAACTCTCGCCTTGTTTCCCCCTTAACTGGTTTTCTCCAGCGAGCAGCACCGACCTCAGCTCAAACCTTCACCCACAGCAGCCACCCGCACAGACTGAGGTGAGCTCCACATTAAGTTTGAAGTGCTTCCTTAATTCCGACGCAGCATTTGGCAGCTTCAGCAGTTGCCTCAGGGCAAAGGTTCTTGTACCAGACAAGCCGTGTTATCATTCACCTCTGACACAGTTTACATCAGCAGACAGTTGTGCCTTTATTTGTTCAGGTGGACCATAACTGTCAAGTTGTTTTGAGGTGGTGTAGACGCAGTTATATGAAACCATGCTGAGCAGAGGCACTGATGTAGCAGCTTTTTCATTGTAAATCTAATAGGACTTGTAATTGCAACACCACTCACTGTCTGTCAATCAATTCCCTACAAACTGCTTTTGATTCCAAACACATAAGAAGCTTCAGTTGTACTCACTGTCACTTCTCTTCGGCAGATACACATTTGAGACGGACCTGCTGACCCCGGAGCAGCGACTCTTCTATGAGGAAAATGGCTTCATCCTCATCAAGAACCTGGTGTCGGAGGAGGACATCGACAAGTTCAGGTGACCATCACAAACTCTGGCACCTGTAAGGGAAACAGTGCTTTACCACAAGTGTATGAACTCATAATATCTGTAAAACAGTTTCAATGATAAGGACCACCATCAACATCATTAACCTTCAATCTTAGTCTCATTTTATGTTAAAAAAAAAATCCTTCAGATGTGCTGTCAGGTGTCAAAATAATCTTTGAACATTCTCCAGGAAGGAGTTTGAACGCATCTGTCGAAAGGAAGTGAAAGTTCCCGGCATGGTGGTGATGAAGGACGTGGCAATCGTCAACTCAGAGTTCGTCGAGGATCAGAGGGCCGTCTCTAAACTCCAGGACTTCCAGGAGGATCCTGAACTGTTCCGGTACTGCACCCTACCACAGGTACAACAACATACATGTACAGTGATGCGGTACTGGTGCATTATTGTCAAATTAGTTGTGGTACACTTATTTTTAAAGCTGCTATTTGTAGACTGTTTTTTTTTTTTTACTGTTTTTATCCAAGGGCAAAAGTTATTTTGGATCGAAAAGTAACTTAAAATTTGAAATAATTCAAACCCAAACTCTAATCAACCAAACCTTGGCTTTTTGTGTTAGATCCTGAAGTATGTGGCGTGTTTCACTGGACCAAACGTCATGGCCATGCACACCATGCTGATCAACAAGCCTCCTGATGCAGGTACGGAGTGAGGAGATTACATTATCTGAGCAGAACTGATTTGTTGATGAATCATTAAATTGATCTGCATAAAATGTATAAATTGTTGAAATTTGCTGCTCTGGTTGTTTTGCTGTAGATGAGCATTAGCTCAATATTTGTGCTGTGGATCGCGTAACACTAGGGGGCAGGAATAACTGGTTCCATGGTGTAATGGTTAGCACTCTGGACTCTGAATCCAGCGATCCGAGTTCAAATCTCGGTGGGACCTGATTTTGGCAGCACTCAGATATCTACAAGTTGCTTTGAGGAAGTAATGGTACAACCACATAATTCAATCTGTCACGCTCACAAGTGCATCATAAAAATATCTTTGGGCCAAGTTCACAACACACACAAAAACAGATTGAGGCTTTATCTTTGTAACAACAAATCGTTAGACGTAGCGATCAGAAGACGGTGAATTGAGGCTATAAATGGATGAACATGGTCAGCAACAAACCTCAAATAGGCTGTGGTATTCAAACCATGAGTGACTGTGCCAAGAAAACATTCTCCACACCAGCAGCAGCAGCAGACTGCACTCTTGACACCGCTGACACAAAGCAGAGATGGCTCCATGTTGCTGAAGTCACACGTGTGACAGCAGAAATCCACATTCATCAGACCAGCCTTCACTTATTCCAGCCTTTTTCCAACTGTGATTGTGCTGCAACACCAGTTGGTGTTGTCCTAATATTGTAATGAAAACGTGCAATTTATGGGCTGTGTACACAACCCTCCTGCACCGATCATTCTAATTATTCTTTATTATTAAAAATGTAACATACCACATGTAGGTTTTCATGGCCAGGACAGCTGAGTGGTCTAAGGCGCTGCGACTGTTGATCGGACAAAACAAATGTTTTGTAAATATCAGAACTTCTCTCAAATTGTTTGACCGGTTATAGAACAAAGAATCATCCATCCATTCATTCATTCATTATCTATACTACTTATCCTTTGAGGCAGGGTGGGGAACCTTTTTTCTATCTAGCCATTTTAATTTAAACAACATCCTTCGAGGGCCATAGTAAATTACAGTTTATTATTAACACATCCAGGCACACTGGCTTGCCTTTCACTTCCATGAAAAAATAATAATTGGTCAATTTTTCCGGCCTGATCAAAACAGGCTTGTGGGCCACATACAGCCCAGAAACCAGACGTTCCTCACCCCTGCTTTAAGGGTTGAGAGGGTTTGTTTGTTCTACTATTACTGTATTAAAGAGTTATAATCAGTTTAACGTCATCCAGCCTCGCCCAGGTATTATTTATCCTCAGTTTAAGTTTAATGGTGCCCTGTGGAGTTTTACATTTTTTAAATCCTGCATTATTTACTAGTTTGCAATCCCTGCCCAGTCCCCATTGCTCAACTCCTTGTGCCAAAAATATTGCTATATGGCCCGATAGGTGAAATGAGTAATGTAGTTTGTGTCCTGTGTTTCAGGTAAGAAGACATCACGTCACCCGATGCATCAGGATCTGCACTACTTCCCGTTCCGACCGGCCGACCGGATTGTCTGCTCTTGGACGGCGATGGAGAAAGTGAACAGGCAGAACGGCTGCTTGGTCGTCCTGCCAGGAACTCACATGGGCACGCTGCAGGAGCACGACTACCCTGAATGGGAGGTACACAACCGCACACAAATAACACTGCCAGAAGCACGATCACACCAGCACACACACACACACGTAGAGTATCTCAGCACTGTGTTTGTCCTCAGGGTGGGGTGAACAAGATGTATCACGGTGTACGAGGCTATGACTCGCAGCTCCAGAGGGTGCACCTGGAGATGGAGAAGGGCGACACCGTTTTCTTCCACCCGCTGCTCATCCACGGCTCTGGCATGAATCAGACACAGGGCTTCCGCAAGGTACTACATTGACCTCAATGCACCTGGTGGTCCAGCGTTTCCCAGACCAAACACCCTTCAAATTCACAGGGTTTATATGCTTCTATTTATCTGAAATAAAAACCACAAATTGTATTAATATTATGAATTCAATGTGTGTGTGTGTGTGTGTTTCCAGGCCATCTCCTGCCACTACGCCAGCGCTGAGTGTTATTACATCGACGTGAAAGGAACCACACAGGAAAACATAGAGGAAGAGGTGAAGGAGATCGCGGCCAGGAAGTACGCTGTGGACGAAATCACTTTCAAGGTCAGAGATTTATTTTTCATATAACATTCTTTGATTTGAAACAGTGTAACGTGTAACAGACTTCTGGATTTTGAGGTATTCTAGACGGTTTGTTGACAACACAATTATAAAAGCCACGACACGAATACAAAAGCCACGCAGCCGAAACACAATGTAATTACAGAGAAAATGAGGGACGACACTGTTGACAGTGAAGTGAGCAGAGTTACATTCTGCGGTCAAGCTTGTTGCCACTTAAAATGTGATGCCTGTCTATCTGAGGTGTAGGTCCAAGTGCTCCAAGCACCTGTACTGTTTTTGGTATTTGTGTGTGGCTTTTGCATTTTCCTTTAATGTGCTTTTGTGAGACGTCTCGTCCACCGTAGAATCCAGCACGATTTCTCAAAACACGTGATCAGACGAATGAGTTTGTGAGCATATGCTTTAAAGCTCAGTGCAATGAGAGAGCAGTGATGGTGACAAATTAGACCGAGAACCGAGAATTAGAGCAAACACACGGATGCAGCTCACACAGATTAACTGGAAGCTAAGCATTGGTTGTGAGAATGTGATGTGATGGGTTAAAAAGTCCAGAATTCACTTTACAGGACTCGCTATTTTCACAAAGAGACTGAAAAAAATGACTCTGGTTTGAATATTCTTGCTAAATTATTAAAAAGGAGAATTGAATCTTTAACTCTTCCTCTACAGGATGTCTGGGCTTTCAGAGGTCGTCTGGTGCAGGGAGAGAGAGTTTCCCTGTGAGGACGCCATAGATGTGCTTCAGAAGACGGCAACTTATAGGAAAATCCCTATATTCTTTTAGCAGAGGAGGAATAGAGTGTTTAAGACTACTTACTGTACATCTAATCATGCTCAGTAGAGTGGGGGCATTTGTTCTGGAAAAGTGCATTTTGTCCTAATAGAAAACATAAAGACAGAGAATAAGATTGAAATGAAATATGTAATTTACTGAGTCCTGATGAAAATGAATCCTCTGACTTTCTTTCAACCTCCTGGAATCTTCCGGAACAATGGAACACAATGGAAATAGGTGTTTAATTCACCAAAACCTTCATAGAAAGGGACGTTAAGTTGACAGATATAAGCCTCAGAAAGACTTGTGACATGTTGCTTTGACAGGAAAATGAGAATTACTGACTGGCTGATTAAAGCACTAACATGGGTCATGACTAGGGTAGGTCCAATATTCTATTCTAATCTGGTACCAATCTGGTGAAATGTTTATATAACAAAATCATCCTTATTCTTTTAAGACACATTATTTCTTTATTTTACATGTGTCTGTTGTTCGACAACATTCTAAGGAATTAGTGATGTGTTGCCACTTCAGATAAGCAATGATATCTCAGAAACAAATCATATATCTTTTAGGAACTGATAAGCAGAACTTTCTTTTCTCACTGGTAACTGACACTTGGGATTTGGTTTTAATTTGGAACAGAGACTCGACTCCAGCCTTGACCGTTTAAACTGCCTTATAAACGTATCACTGTGTAAATCTTCTTGTTTCAGTGGATTGAGTGTTTGATAATGAGTGAGTGGGTTTTAATATCGTTTGTATGATAATTATAAAGTTTTAATAACATTAATAATAAAACTCGCTGCTATAGTTACCAGACTTTGCTTTGACTTTCTCTAGAGTTTCAGACACAGCTGCCACTTTGACCTGCGAAATATAATAATCAGTCGTGCCATTCATATGCAGGAAACTGAAATGTGGAGACTGTGTCACAGAGGTGGATGGTGATAAGCTGCCTCATGCACACCCACACATGCTAGTTACACACATTCACTGCATTTTGACAGATGCAGCACAGAAGAGCCCATTTCAGAGTTAAAGCCAAATACGAGGATATATTTTGCACACACCTGCATATTCGCATAAATACACAAATGCAAGTACTGCAAATAGTTTTCAGGCTCATTTGCTGCTAAATATGCCCCAGACTCCAGATCTGAACATAGTGGCCTGTCGTCTCTGCCCATTTTCCTGCAAAGGAAACTGTTCCCTAGTACACACAGCTACACAGTATTTATTCCTGTAATGTTTTACCTGTACAGTCCAGTGTTATATTTTCTTTTAAGATGATTAAGAGAACCTGACGACCCTAAGTCAAATTTGAATGAATCATTTGATTTCTTCAGCTCCTCCAATCAATATTTTATATTTACAATGTCTCGGATGACTTTTTGTGACGAAGCCACTGAAAAGAATTACACCAGCCTGCAAATTTAGTTTATAAATTAACTTATTGGAAAAAGCATTTCTTCTATATGTTTTTGATTATTTGGGCCTCCTAAGTCTTTTTCATTCCTGACTTTCACTGTCTACCAAACCCTGGTTTCTACTTAAACCTCAACCCATTATTCCTCTTTTACCTCCTTGCTTTCTTCTTCTCCTTCTTCCCATCCCTTGGGAGATTGAAATTCCAGCAGCTTCCCTCCCCTCTCCAAGCCGTTCTCCCTTTCCATCTCCTCCCACTCCCTTTCTTCCCTTCCCTCCCTTATCTTCCTCTCCTCTCCCAGTTGAGTTAGGTGCACTGTTTAAGTCCAGTACAGCTCTTACCTGGCTCTGTCAACATGTCCTGGACTCGAGTGTTTGTCCTCTCTGTGCTCACCACCCTCCTCATCCTCACCTGTGAGTATTGTGTGTGTGTGTGGGCGGGGTGGGGAAAAGGAAGAGTGGGGGAAGGAGGGGATTTGGGGATTTGAAATCTTCAGGGGAGAAAAGCAGAAGAGATTTGAGCATAAAAAACACAATATATGGATATGTACTGTCACTACTTAATATGAAAATTAATATTTATCATGGGAGAACTTTAGACTTGACTTTTAATATATGAGTTAATTTGTTGATTTCACCATTAGTTTCAAAATAACCTCATAATAACAGGCCAGGTCTCAGAATATATGATAATTATTGTTTTGCAACTACAATAACAATATTTGCATCAAAGTTTTAAGAAATGTTTCCAGAGGTGATTAATGAAAATAAATTTGTCTCAAGCTACTGAAATACTTCAGGCTCTGTCACTTTTTCCAAATTAAAGTTACATTTGGCCGTGATTCACAAATACTTTTGGTCTGTTTCGAGCTGGTGCATCTGTAAAAGAGTTCAAGTTCAGCAGCCAAATGATTAAGACAGAGTTATCAATTTGTGATTGTTTCTCTGGCTTCCACTGACTTTAAAAAAAAACTGCTAATGCACTGCTAAATGTTGCTGATTTGATTCAGTGACATAATCAGTTCAGTTTGAAGATTCTTAGTTTGAAAAGTGAAATTTGGAAGATGGCTCTGGATAAATAGTTTTCACCTCTGCAGTAAAGATTGCACAAAAATAACTGAATGGATTTCCACAAATCTTGGTGGAATGATGCAATATGGGTGTTGCCATTCTTTATCCCTAATTTGTAAAGAAACTGAAGTTCTGCCAAAACACTAATACCAATACTAATCTGTGTTTTCATTATCACATTATCAACAGTTCTTTTTCTGGCATATTCAGAGCATGATTTCAATAATCCTACTTTTTAAAGGAGGCTACAAGCGTCTCGTCGTCTCAGATATCAAGCTTTACATTACAAATAACACCATTTTTGTGTGGCTGTCAAGATTAATTCAATACTGCTCTCTTTTCACTAGGATAAAAAGACAAAAGCAAAAAACAGTAAATAAAAGTTTCTCCTTTTGCCCTTAGTTTCCAGTTTGGTGGAAAACGCCGCAGTACGGGACGACCCTAAACCAGCCGACCCTAAAGGTGGCACCAGTTCTACACTCTTCACTTTTTCACATAACTTTGACTTCGTCTTCCATGTGTGACCTCAAACATGTGATCTGACCCTCAGGCGCAGCACGGCAGGTGTTCATGCCCGAGTCGGACGCCTCCAACTTCTTCAAGCGTCGTAGTCGCCGTTCGGTGGAATACTATGAGTTCCAAGGTGAGGCTGAGATAAAGGCTGCTGCTGCCAGCCAGAAAGATGTGGTTTTTAAATGTCTGCAATAGATAACGGATACTCCTTATTTAATTACGACTGGAAAATCCTAAATTTGATAAATATGTGACCTGATAAGACAAGATGAATTCAAGCAGTATTACTTCTCTTAAAAAACTTTTTTATATTACAATCTTAAAATGTCGTGTCAGTAGTAGAATACCAGCAGGATCTTGACTGAAATGTCTGGTAGTGAGAAGAAGATGAGTGTCGGCGGTGGTGTTTACTCATACTTGGTGTTATATGTGTGGTTGATGTGGCCACACTGTGGGCAGCCTTAACTACGGATGATTGCTCTCCTGTATAGAGAACGTGTGTATGTGGGTCTGTGGGGGAGTTTTGCTTTGTTGGTTTGTGGTTAAAAGGATTCACTCATTATGTATTCACCACTATGTCGATGGAGGGGTGGGTGAAGTGTTGGGCTAAACAGCGTTGCAGCCAAGTTCAATACTTTTGAAGTAAATAGTGACCACAACGTAAAAATATCCTCCTCCAGAGCAACGTTCACATCTGGATCACAGAGGACAGTTAGGCTCAAAACAGTTTCCAGTTGAATTTGAATGTCGGGGCTTATGGATACTTGGATGACACCACAGGAGCATTATTTTTTTAGTTGTAGAAGTGGACACTATTTACTTTACTCTGATTGTATTAGATTTTCAATTGTATTTACCCCTGAAACTCCAAAGAGTAGATAATGAGTGAATTTTCATTTTTGGGTGAACTACCCCTTTAAAGTCTGAGGATTATAGTACTTTTGTTTTGACCGCGAGCTGTGAAAGTTCCAGAGAGAAACAGAGACATCGGAGGGGAATCTTAGGCAGGTGTTTTTGTAGCAGCTCACAAACACATGCACACTCGAGCTGGAGGCTGCAGAAGGAGTCACAGGGTACTATGGAGCAGGCTGTCCCTCTCTGCTTCTCTGCACAATAAGCTCATTCTTCCACTGCCAGCATCCGCACGATACACACACCGACACACACACAAGAGGTGTTGCAGGAGAATCTTGCAAACATACAAGGATCGTATCATCAGCATGCGCCTCTAAATCAATCTTTCACTGACTAGAAGCAGATTCGTGCAGCCGGAGATGAAAGCATGGAAAGGGCCACACTTGCCAATATTCAGCATTTCTTTCCATCTTTTCATTTAAGCAGTTCTTTGTAAATGTCCCTCTTTTCTGCTGAAACCCATCAGAGAAGCACATGTGTGCCCCTGAACCAGCCTCCTGAGACAAGGCTGTGTCTCAGTTCGTCTTGCCCGACAAATGGAGCACCAAAAAAAAGTTCTCGGCATTGAAAACACAGACCCACATTCCTGGAGAGGTCGATTGTGCACCTTGCCAGCCCAGTAGCTAAGGCTAGAATTTAAGGAGCATTAAAAAAATAGTTGACCAAGAAAAAGTACCAGATTGTGCACCATTATTTAAAGCTATGGATGGTAATCCTGGAAAAGATAGCTAGAGCAAGGGACAGAGAAATGCATCTGATAAAACACACAACCCCAACAATTTGGCAATGTAGTAGTTTCGTCTGGATGAAAATGGAGGAGCGACCAAATGACTGACTGGCTCTGCTATAGAGACAAGCCCCGAATCAATGTGGAAAATACGTTTGCAGAGTAGACGCAGGTCTGTGTTTCCATGGAACTTTGTGTTGTTATCCTACAATTATAAGCTGATTATGAAATTGAAGGAAAAACAAAGTCAGAGTAGTAAAGTCTAATATATACGATGGCTGCTCTTTACCTGCATGGGTGGGGACAGGGAGGAGGAGGTGTTTACTTAAATACACATTACAGTATGTAGTGCAGGTTGACTACATTTATTGCTAACTAGACACACTAGACACTTGCATGCATCAAACAACAATCAAAGGTTTTTGTTTGAGGTTTTCAGTGATCTAATGGTTAATAAGACTTTAGCTCTACAGCCATGGTAGCAGCTCTGCGAGGCTGAATGCTTTGAGCCAAATGTGAACCATGCCAGCAGTTGATGCGTCAAGGTTGTTTAAGGAGGGAGCAGGAAATGGCTGCACCCGTTTTATCGATCAGTATCATGAGTGGGTGCATGCAGATGACACTGTCGTCTTCTCCTCTCTGCAGCTGAGCAGAGGGTACGGCTTGCAGCAGATGAGCATAGGAGGGAGTACAAAGAGGAGCAGAGGAATGAGTATGAGAACTACGTCGAGGAGGAGCGTGATGGTAAGACCTGGATTCAGCTGCTTTTGGTTTTAAGGACTCGAGGTAGAACGAATGAAAACAACTTTCTACAGGTGTGAAATAATGAAGAAACCACCGTCCAGCTGTCCCTCAATTCCCCCTTTCTACAGAGGGCTGGAAATACAGATGTTTACTCTGCTCCAAGACACTAAATTAGGCAGAAAGATGGAGCATAGAGACTGAGCATCCCTTTTATTTCATGTTGTAAGCATTAGCTCCAGCTGGTCCCTGTGGACAACCTTAAATATCACTTGTCACGAGAAAGGCTCAATGAAAGAATCGACTACGGGAAGCCAGAGTTTTTGTTTGGATCTCAGACGAACCGCTCGGCACCCACGAGCCTGTGGGCTGCAGCAGAGGGCCGGAGACTCCACACCGATTCAAAGTGTTAATTTGTGGTTGACCCCATACCGACAATCTTCTCTGTGGTTGTCTGTCAGCATAATAAAGTTGCAGTGACAGTTTCTAAAATAAGAACTGCTAACCACAAAGATGTGACTGGTTCAATGTCAGAGACGCAGTGTTCGGGGTAATGAGTTATTTTAGGAAAACAAAAATAACTGATCCGGTTGAAGGAAGACAAGTGAACACAGTCCATCAAAACGGTCAGTGCACCACTGCAGCATGAATAGAGAAAAACATGTTATTCTCAATTAAAAAGATACTATTCCAAGATGGCTACACCACTGCAGTCGCAAAGGCAAAAATAAACTTGAGTTTTTTTTAAATTGCACATTAACAAATGATGTTGGTCATTTTGTTTTGACACTTGCACTTGCCTTTGGATAACAGAAATGTTCAATGTGTCTAGTTTACAATGACTGCTGGGAGATAAACAGCTTTTTATTGTTCTGCTTGTAAACAGTCTGTGCGATGATGTGTTATCGTAATAATGCAGTTTTACAAACAGTAAAGTGCACTTAGCTAAATGCTAACAGTTTAGAGGACTGATATATAACTTTAATGATATTTTAGCGATTTGATGTTCAGAGTTACAAGTACTTTCAGTCGAGTATGGAGTTATTGTAAAAATATTAATTATAGCTGCTTTAATTGAGCGTTTGTTTTCCACAGAGGTAAATGAGAGATCGAGGGAGACGAACGAGCAGCTCAGAGAATATCACTACGACGGCCTTTATCCTCGCTACCACTGGTTCCACTGAGCACACCTGCTGGGGTGGGAGATACAGCGCCTCTCACTGGGGCAGCAGTGGTACTGCTACTGTGACACGTGGAGAGCCAGTGCTGAAATCTTTACCGTATTTTTTCTACTTTAATCTGCAGGATGAAAGTTTTCTTTTGCTTTATTTTTTATACAGCCTAAACTGTGCAATATGTGTCTCCATGTTAAACTGTAGAGTGCATTTAAAGTGCACTTTTTGTATTGAAGCTAAATGTTATCGTTACTGTTTTGCATGCTCGGTTTTATTGCCTTTTTACACATATTCATGGTTATATACATATATATATAAATATATATATATGTCGTTCAGTCAGCCTGAGAGTGACATTATTACTTAAAGTGTAAATGACAAATAAAGAGGAGATTCCTTATTACCAGACCACTGATGTGTTTTGACTCGAGCGAGCACTGTCTGGTATTTGGAGAATTTAACGGGAGGGAGGTGGTGTGGAATAAAAGAGAAGAAGAGGTGAGCTGCAGAAGTCATCAGGCAGAAATTCATCCCACATTCCACTCTGGAAATATTAGACTGGGCAACGAGAGACTGAAGACGTAGAAAGAGGAGGAGGGAAAAAAAGCAGCAACGGGGTAATGAGAAAAAAAATTAATTAAAGCTTCAAAATGATGAGGCATGGCTCTGTATGATTACTAATCACACTTATTTCATATCTATACCATGATTCCACCTCAGCTCTCTCCTGTTTAACACCATTGGCTCAGAGACTTGAGCGAGTGCCACCTGGCCTCTGCAGTCTTTGCTGCGACACATGGAGCGTGTTAGTGGAAGTTTGTGTCCCATCGAAGCCGACTGGTTCAGTCCCCGTGAAGAAAATCTCTCTGTTCATAACTATTAACAGTAAATGGGATTCTTACAGTAATAACTCCTCACTAATGCAATACAGAAATAAGTTCATTACACAGGCAAACAGCCTTATCTTAACATAAGAGATGATTCCAAGACCTGACAGTCCCCTTTCAATCAAGCTGCAAGAATACTGCATGAAAGAATCCTCAATTTCTTATGCCTAATATTAGTTTTTTTTAAATTACAAGCTGAAATTGGGATCTCACCTTGATTCTAGATGGATAATCCTTTTTCATAGCAGACATTTTGACGGACCACAGCAGGACTAGCACAGATCTAAGAACAACAATGGCTCTGTTCAGTTCAAGTGTCTCAGGTAGAAAAGACTGTGTGACTGTGAGGCAGCAGGAACAACAGGGTCCTGAAACTGAAGCATACATTTTCATTCATTCCTTTTCTACTGCGACAAAATAAAAAATCTCTGTTGTGAAAAGGTCTAACAATGAGGAAACAAGGCAATCATTACTATTCAGTCACATTATATAAAAACTGACCTGATGTTGCTGTTTTGACCTGAGGGACTTATTTACCGTCTTTTCTTCACTTGTGCTTATCAGCTGCAAACTGAGTAGAAACACACATTTCACATTAAGTCTTATGCAAATTCTTACTTTAATAAGATTCTTTCCAGCCAATGTAATCAGACATTTAAATCTCCATAATCAACATGTTTAAAAACAAAATTTACAGACATTTAGAAAGACACACGACAAACAAACAAAGTATAAGTACACACTGTTCCCTTGACAACCAGTTTGCAGCAGGGATGAAGATGAAGTCACTTCATGCTGTTGAGGAACTTTCCATGCTCATCTCCTCGAGGCTGGAGAAGCTCCCCGGCGATTTTTGGTCCTATTTTCTCCTGTAACAAAATATCAACAACAACCTCAGGAGTGTTTTTTTTTTCACAGCCGTAAATTTATTTATTTGACTTTAAATGAGAGGAAATCTGAGCCAGAGAGAAAGTTTACCTTCAGCATCCCATCACGCTCCCATTTAAATAGACCACAGTTACTGCAATGGTAAAACAGCATTAGTTATTCATGCCACAAAGGGAGAAGAGATAGAAAATCAATCAAATAAAAACACTACACTCTTTGATTGTATTCATTAGTCCAGATGCTACTCAAGTTTAGCTTTCATTCACCATTGCTGAACTAATGGAAAGTAAAGCATTTCAAATTCTCTGACCCTAAGCCCAGGAATAAAGAACACTTTTAAAATGTGAGAAAGAGACAACAAAGCCGGAGTCTCACCCGCAGTGTTTGTGCGGCAGTCTGTCCAGAGCGATGGCTCTCTGTCCACACGGACATTTGAAGAAACGTTTAAGTGCATCGTGCCACCGCAGGGCGTGATTCTCCTCCACGCAGCGATCCGCCGGCTTAAAGTAGGTGTAACCACACTGGAATCAGGGGAACATGGGAAAAAAAAAGCTTACTTCTCCAACTTCTGAGACGGTCAGAGGCGACCAATCATCTCCATGTTCACGTTTATGATTATTTCAAACCTTAGTTGAAATAATTATTCATGATCATTTTTTAAAATAGCATAACAGACATTTGCTAATCCAAGCCGCTCAGTACCTTTTTACAGCTGACAGCCCGACACTTCATCTCTCTGATGCCCCTCATCTTCTCCTCCATCTGCTCTTTCTTCACCAGAACATCAAAGTAGCGCTCCTGCAGCTGGTACTCCGCCTAAGTCAGGGAGGATTCTTTAAGTTTCTTTAGTTTCAACACACTTTATTAAGATTTATATGTATCTGATGTAATAAATACAGAAGAACATCAGATGCACTCTAATCAAACTGGGCTACACAAATAGATGCACTGGTCATACCGCTTGTAGCACCGCCCCGTGACGAGATTTGGCGTTGAGGATCTTCTGGAACTCCTCTGACTGAAGGTAGCGGAGCTGCTCTCTCTTCTTCTTCTGGGCTGGCTCCTCTTCCTCATTGTTTGACGATTCACCTGTTCAGGTAAGTAACAGCCGGTGATGATAAACGAAATCAGCTAATTTCCTGTCGAAGAATTCTGAAATGAAGTGCACGCATTTCTTTTCATATGTAAGTGGATGTCTTGTCCTGTCATGAGTAAACGGAATGATTTATAAGTAAAAGTAGAAGCAATTTTATTTTGCTGCTACTAGCATTATTATTTGAAATCTTAAAATTAATCTAATTGCCACATATTGAAATGGTGAAGATCTGCCCCTTTAAAAGTTGTTTTTATACAAGAATTGTGTGTAATTGTGGGTATTTGAGATTGACAATAATTTGTACAGTGTAAGTCAGTTGTGAATTATATTAGAAATAAAAATAAACATAAGGTACAGGAAAAAAAGTGTGTGCATGTACCTGTGGGTGAGGTCAGATTCTTCTCCACCCGGGCGTTGATTTCACCGTCATTACTCCTCTTCCTCTTCACAGAGTTGGGGTCTTCCTTTGCAAGCTTCGTCCCTTTTCCTTTCAGTCTCTTCAGAGCAGCCAGCTTGGCGGCTGATAGGCTCAGAGCGCTGGCAGCAGGGGCTGGAGGGGGGCCGTTCTCAAAAAAGAGGATGTCTTCCCCCTCAGAGAAGCCTCTGCCCAGGGTGGGCGTATGGGGCGCTGCGGGGCTTTGGGTGGATCTGGGGACCTCAGAAGCTGCTTTCGGGGACATCAGACCATCTTGGCCCCGTAAGGATGACGACAATCCGGGTTTGACCCCTGTAGAGTTCTGCACCACCCTTTTCTGGATATCATCTGCTCTTCGTCGGCGGTTCTCCAGAAGCTCCCGCTGCTTCTGTTTCTGCTGCTTCAGCAGGTCAGAGGCTGTGATGGACTGAACTGGAGCACCAGTCTCATCTTTGGAGACTGAGGATGGACAACAGATCAATAATGAGAATATCTGTGCACTGTAAATACCAGGTGACCAGTCAGGTAGCAACCCTGAAAGATGTATGTAGGTTTTTAAGGGTTCTGACGTACAAGAGTTGAGAATGTGATTGTGTGTTATGGCAACATTTTCCATTTCTAAGCTCAATTTTCTATTTTAAAACAGAACTTTGAATTGAACACAGACAGTGAAATCAATCATTGTTGTCAAACTGTACATTTGTTAGTACTAAGCAAACAGAGCTGTGTACCTGATTGGCTGCCCTGGACTAAGTGCTTCTTCAGCTGCAGAGCTCCTGGTGTTGGCATCGACAACAGACTCTTGAATTCATTTGTACAACCTGAAACTTCACCAGACTGCACACCTATAAAAGAAAAAAGCACAAAAAAATGAATTGTAGAGAGAATTGTTCATTTATTAAACAAATCGTAAAAAAATCTAAATATTTTTAAGATATAGATAATACATAAATATATAATATATAAATATATATATATATAAGATATAAAATGGAGGTGCATTTCCATGAAAACTATAGAAAATAAAATATACTGATCAGAGTGATTGGACTTGTAATTGTGTCCGCAGTATGAGTGTGTCTTCTTCCTTACCGAGCCTCTTGGCCTTAGCCACGAGCTGAGCCGAGCCTTTCACAAACAGCTTGTCCAGAGTTTTCTGAACGGGTTTGGAGGCGGTTCTGTAACACACAGATATGCTCGTGAAAATGCCAGGCGGCTGAGATTCTGACCAAACCCACAGTGTGTTCCAGGCTTTAAATACAGCAGTAGATCTCCACAAATTGACTTCAATAAGATCATTTCAACCACTATCTAAACTGGGATCTCAGTTTGATACAAGACTGTCTGCAACAGAGGGGACTTTTAATACATTATTATATAATACATTAATTCTACCATTAATTAAATATGTTTCATTAAAATAAACTTTACATGTTGGCCATTGCATGAGAGTCATTTGCAAGAACATAAAATCAAGTGTCTACGACTCACAGTGACGAAGCACAGGCGGCCGAGGAAACGCCACCATAGTGGAAGCCGTCCTGACACAGCCGATCCTTCAGGCTGCCGCCCTTCCCTTTGAACTTGTTGGGAGCTTTTCCAGAGAATGCCGACTGCAGCTCAGCCCTCTTCGAGCTCATCTTCTTATACTGGGCCTTGACGTGATACTGGCAGAACTGGCACTCGTACTGTAAACAAACAACGGAATATTGAGGATATGGACATAAAAACATCGGTAAAATTAGGGAGAGAAGGAGCCTGAAGGAATGCACCCACCATGTTGACAATCTGAGAGCAGGGGTCTCCGTTCTTCTTCATGGCCTTGCAGGTGCCGAAGTCTTGAGCTTCACCCATCAGCAGCACCTTCTGTGGGTGATCCACCGTCAGGCTGACCTGTACAAGTTCACCACAAACATACTTCCGGAGTTAGGAAAAGGATATCTCATGTAAACAGTTTTTTCTGGAGACATTTGATGATCTCTGAGAGAAAAGTTACGATTTTTAGCAGAAACTTTTCACTAATTTTCTTAATATTCCAACAGGAGTGTTTCGAGGAGATCGGTTTCTGACATGTCATTCAAAGTTTAAGTTAAGGGCCACAGATGAGAGAACCAAACTTAGAACTGGAAGGTCATCGGTGGGATTCCCAGAACTGCAGGAAACATTTGGTTGGGGAACCTGAAAAACCAAATTGCTTCAGCAGAGCTGCTCGGTGGACATCATATTTAACTGGGGATTTTCGGCAGACGTGAATGTCGGGAACTGAAAACGCTGCTCTCAGCAAAACTAAATTAATAAAGGTGGTGATTTACTCGATGGTGGGTCTCTGGTAAAATAACTGCAGCAACATCAAGATAATGAGAGAAAACTATTCTCAAACTGTGCTGCTGAGAACTGGAAACTTCCTGTGCACTCACCCCATCATATCCGTCCTTCTGCTTCATGGAGTTTGGGTTGAGGAGCCCGATAACGGTGCCCTGCTCCGTCTTCCAGAGCTCTTTGTGAACTTCGCCAAACAGCAACAGAGACACATACACTTCCAGGTTGTGGAGGTCGTTCAGCTTCCAGACGCTGAAGGTTTTGCCCTGTGGAGAAGATGTGTTCAGACAGGGCTGTGATGCTGCACAGTATCTCCAATACATTTTAAGTTAGATTGAGTTTTACTGCTGTGTTGAAAAAAACAAATAGTTTTTCCACCAATCACAATTTGTAGCTGCCAGTTTGCTGTAAGTTATTCGATCGATGATGTATGTCCAGTGTTTATTGTTACAGAGATATGGCTGCACTGAATAGAGACATGGAAATGGCAGAAATGTCTAAGAAAAAGCAGTGAAAACGTTAAATGGAACAAGAAGTCCAGTAGTGCTGAAAAGTTTGAGTTTTAAATTAGTGAATAGTCAGACAAAATCCATTTATCCACTCCATCCATTGTATTTATGTGCCACATGATTGACAAACTAACAACCAGAGTGCATATGTTGCAGTATCTTTGTTTCATATAAAACATACAAGGTATGTGGAACAGGTGACACATTTTCAGTTTTTCCAGTTTGAATAAATGTGATTTGTAACTGTTGACACACAACAGTATTCAGCAAAACACAGACAGTTACAATCCAAGATGGGAGGAAGGTGAATAGACCTACACTGCCGCTGCTTTGTGGTGTGGCCTTGTTGACCAATACTGCAAACGTCACCCAGTCACTGTCCTCCAGCTTCTCCCGAGCCAAACAGTCTGGAACCTGCGACAGAAGGATCAGACGGCGGTCACCCATCTTGCGGTCCATATCAATGGAGGAAACCCGAGGTTTTCTGAAATTGAAAAAAATGCCTTGATTCAGACTGAAAAGCCGTTTAAATAAAAAGTAAATCACACATTTTTCTGTGTCCTCACCTGAGCCGCAGTCCTGAGTATTTTTCAACAGCCACATCTTTAGGAGGAGCAGGGAGAGAAGAAGGTTTGGGTGCCGCTGATGCAGCTGGTGAAGGTTTGGTGAGGGAGGCTGGAGGTGAACGTCGGGGTTTGGAAACATTGCTGGTGCTTTCTACAGGCTTGAAGGAGCTGCCGAGCTTTATCTCCACGAGTGGCCCCCTATCCTCTAAGGGGAAAACAGAGAGGAAAGAACATCAGTCTTCAAATTACAATTCACAATTCTGTTATCTATGAAAAGATGGTTTAAGTGTATGTTTGACCTGGTGATGTGCTGGGTTTGGCTAAGTGGGCGACCCTGGGTTTGCGTTTGAAGGAGTCAGCGTTTTTCAGCTGGTCAGAAAAGTCAGAAGACTCCTGAAGCTTCACGTTTCCTTCTCTGACTGGAGTGGATGAACACGTTGCTGCGGTCAGAAAACAAAGACACAATCATCGTCTGTTTCCCTCTCTGATTTATTTTGTACTTAAAGTGTAACATTAAATAGCAAACGTTTTCAGAGAACAACAAATCATTTACCTGCTTGTGTCTTCTGTGTGGCAGCTGCCGGTTTAGCCGTAGCCACTTTGGTGGTGATCTGTCGGGGAGGTGTTGGTTTCGGGGTCATGCGTTTGGGAGCAGTTGAGCTCCCTCCTGTCCTGACTGGAGTGGATGTTGGGGTGGAAACCTTCTGACTCACCTCCAGCTGCTGCTGCAACCTCTGCATCTGCTCCTGCATCTTTCTCAGCTCCTCTGGAGAGGGAAGACACACAGCTCCAGTGGTGAACACATACTCAGCCAGCAACATTATACTGAACTAAATTACTTTGCACATGAACAAGAAACAATTTTCAGCAGCGACTGCTATGGTTCAAACCTTGTAAATCTTCCTTGGACTTGGCTTCTGCTCCGTTTGACTTTGCTTTAGTGTCTTTCTCCTCATTTTCAATGTCATCCACATCTCCAAAGAGATCTGACACTGCATCCTCTGTTCCTGCATTCTGCTCTTCCTCCTCTATGCCATCTTTGTACTCCTCCTCCTCATTGTTGTCATCATCAAACAGGCCGTCTAAGTCGTCTGCCTGCCCCTGATCGCCCTGATCTTCGCCGACATCCTCGCTCTCGGCCAGCAGCGCCGTCAGAATGTCCAGATCATCCTCACCTGAACAGATAATGAGAGTAAATATTTTTTCCTGAACTGTTGATAAAGTTTATTATGAGTCTTCTGATACTTACTGTCCATTTTAGATATATTAATGGTGTGGTTGATTTCAGATGACCTGGTGACCTATAAGGAAGCAGAATAAAAGATGGAAGAGAATCTAATTTAGCAGCTCTTTAAGTTAAAAAGCATTTCTCTCTAGAAAAACACATTCACACACCTTTCAAGTTCAACTTGATCAAACGAAAAGGTTAACATGTTCATCGTGGAGCTTCAGATGAAAGACATGCAAACCAATATATATCCTATAACTCTTATTATAAATTATATTGATTGATAAAACGTTAACCCCATAAAGTAAACATTGATCATTTCAACCAAGGTAAGATGTCGAAGGAGAAATGTCCTTTCCATGTTATCATTTATGTCCAGGAAATGGAAGCACCAGTCTCACCACGTATACAATCTATAACTCAGCGGTGCTGAGCAGGAAACACAGTGTCCCCACTACTAACATAAAAAAACTCCCATTCTATAGAAAGATTTAAGTAAAGTGTTGATTGTTCTTGTGGAAACTTTAGTATCTCAGAGGAGGTTCACTGGGTCCATTTAAACCGACGTTCACACTCAACTTTTAATGTCCTAACCAGCTACTAAAGACTTTTAGAGTTTAATACAGACATGAGACATTTATCTGCGAATATCAGAATGAAACTGTTGATAAAATATTTTATGACGATTTAAAGATAATGACACGACTCACCTCGGGCTCTTATGAAGCTCTGGGTCCTTAGCTCTAAAGCAACTTTGACACACTTTCTAAACACGTCCGGTCAGTTACTATAACACGCGCATCCCTGTAATTAACATTAAAGCCAGCTATGAGCCATTACTACAGTGAGATTGAGTTAAACGTCTCATTCAGCTCGTCTCGTATCTTCTACAGAGACTCAGGGCGAGGGAGACGATCCAAACTGGCGCTAAACGGAGGACCCCGCTGTGTTGTCAAATCGTCGTGAGGTGCCCGATAATTTGCCTGATTGAAAAAATAAAAGAGGTTTCTGTTTCGTAGACGTAGACCAGCGATTCGACAAAAAACTTAAGACTGAAGTTAAATAAACGAAATATTTATTTGAATAATTCATGGAAATTTACAGCAAAACAGCTCGATATAGTATTTATTGTTCTATTTTTGTCATGGCGAACTCAAGAGCCTACAATGTGTATTGACATGTTTGAGGACCGGGCAGTGTGGGGGGGATTATTCTTCTTATTATACATTATTAAATAATTGTGCCCAGAATTTAATTTAATTTATTTATTTTAAACTTCTTTCGTTATCCCACCTATGATGTGAATATGTATATATATTCATATTGAATTTGCTCAGTCTTATATAGATATTGTAAATGTTTTGCTTGTTGAATTTGTATTGTGTAATAAAAATGATAATAAATAAAAAAACAGATAGACCTTCCTAAATGTTGACTTACATCACAATGTTCAGGTTGCATACTGATTAATTATCATGTAAAATATGGATAATAATCGTAGATGTTTCTACTTCCAGGTTTTGATATTAGTAAAAGGAGACAGCAGTTTGGAAATCATTTGATTCTTTTTATTCACAGAATCACAACATATATTCAGCAGGCCTTCATAATCTACAGAGCACAGACTCAACATGGTGTTGAAGCCTCGTGGACGTATCAAACAAAGGCTGCTGCTTAAAAGTCATAGGTTGATTAACAAGTTAAGTATACTGTGTTCTAATTCCCACATATCATCTGCAGAGGCAAAACAAAATATATTTTCAGCTAAAATATCCTTTTCAAACTAAAAAATAGAGAAAGAATTTCATTTTAATTTGACAAGGAAACATTTTAAAAATAAATTGCCCAACCAACTTGGTACACAAATAGAAATTATAAATTTTCAGCTTTGGTTGAATTGTAAATGAGTGCTCGGACGGCAGACAGCACCACACTGAAATATTGTCAAAGGGTTAGTACAGTTTCTGTTTTGATGTTCCAGATTTCGTTCGCCTCGTAGGATTTCACCTTCAGCTTGTTTTCACAGCAACAAACAAACAGCATAGACTTAAAACCTACAAGAGGACGTGTCCCCCAATATTATTTATATATTATTCCAAATGTTCTTGGCACTTTCAAACTGACTTGAGACAACATATTTTTGTCCCCATCCTACAGTGAATATTACTGATCTTGTGGTGCCTATGTGGAGTGCTGTCACACGGACCAGAGAAGAGGTACAGGTCAAAGCAGAGGAAGACTCAGATAAAGGTGCTTATGTGGCTGCTGTTGTCATAGATACTGGTGATGACAGAGGGTCTAGTTGATGCAGTCCATGATGTGGATCTGCAGGGAGTCCAGGTCTGGCAGGATCTCATTGCACTTGGGACATGCATGTTCGGGAATGTTCCCCTGCTGCCAGTCCGTACCTGAGGGTCAGAGACATCGATCACAATATGCACACCGACATATTTACCATATCAACTTGTAAATCTAAACAATTAAGTTGTACCTCTTCCAACCAGAGATGGACCGGCTCCACGATGATTTCCTCCCAGTGACACATGTCTCCTCTGCATCTCGTTCAGTGACTGCCTGTGGGGACGGACAACAGAAGCATGCACTGAACAGAGGGCACACTGATAAACGACTTTGGAGTCCAGGGTATTGTACAACTAAAACCACTTTAAGTCTTTGTTTCCATACCGGCCCAGTGACTCCATCTCATCCTGCAGCTGCGAGTTCTGCTTCTTCACAAACTCCAGCTGAGCAGCCAGACGCTCCCTCTCTTCATGGAGTTTCTCCCTCGCTGCTCGCTCAGCGTAGAAGTCTGAGGAGTAGACCTCGGCCTGCACACAGCAAAAGGCATGATGAACACCACTGGACTGAAGGTAGCCATGTGATCTTAATACTTCAGCTCTAATGCTGTACGACATGTCAGCACTCAACGTCACATGAAAACATGAATTCACACACTGACCTGAGCCTGGAACACGGATATGGTCTCCAGCTCTGTCTCTTTCTGGAAAATCTCTTGCTTCATGTCATCAATCTTGCTCTGTTTTACTGCCAGAGCCTCTTCTGCTGTAGTCAGTCGCTCCTGCAGCTCGTCCACCAACTCCTTCTTCACGAGCTGAGACTGCCGGACCAAAGGACAAATGTCAAACATGTCTGGATTTTTCATTTGTAAATCGTTTATATATCACAACTCATGCTCGGGAGCTTTTGCTGTTCATCACAAATTAAGTCCTCTCCTCTAACCCTGAGAGATCTTCCAAAGAACAGCTTCTAATCTTTGAAAATCAGGCAACCAAAATGAAGAAAGTACAGTAAACACAGTGGGAGGCAGCTGTAGTTAATCAAAAATATAACAGACTCCATCTCGCTCCTGATACTGATAATAATGGCTTCAGTTCTCTTGCCCAGTCTGAGTACAGCCTGCAACTCGCCTTCACTCTTATCAAATTCAGTAGCTAGGAGATTTTTTCGAAACTGGATAAAGCATTTTGTCATGTCATAAACCTAGACACTGTGCTCATTCTGATTTGGGCATTTCTTCTTCTTACTGAATGTACATATAATGCAATCAAGTAAAACTACAACACTAACTACAGCCTTAGTTATATGTGTATATGTAGTTTAATTTCTGCCTCAGTTTTAACTTCAACTAAAAGATCTCCACTGCACCAAGCACTGCTCCAGATTCACACTCTTATACCTGCATGTATCGTGGTGTAAAGCAGTTACATAAAAATTATGATACAACACAAAAATACCTCTTTCTTCTTCCTCTCCTCTTTGAGCTCATTGTAGTCTTCAAACAGTTTGGTATAGGCGTCCTTCAGCTGGGCTAATGTGTTTCTGTGAAGGAGGAAGTTACAGATGAGTCAGCTTTATCTTTACTCTCAAGGTTGCTTGAGGAAAAGGTTTCCAGTGTATATTCAGGTCAAACATTATGCTATGTCATTTACTAAAGTCATTTTTCTGTAGAGCAAAACGCAACACGTGGCCTGTTAATGTGTGTCTGCTGTATTTCTGTGTCCTCTGACCTCTCCTCCCCGGCCTTCTTCTGCTCTATCAGGCTCTGGGCCTGCATGCTGTCCAGCTGCAGCTTCAGCCGGTCATTCTCGGACTGAACCACCTGTTTCTCCACCAGCTGAGCCCTCAGAGTCGCCACGTCCTGCTCCACATCGCGGTATCTAGATCAAGGAAAGGGACATCAGATATGAAACAGGACACTTTTGCACGTTTTGGAAACGTTTTCCTGCATTTCTCTGTAGTTTTTTTAATGTGATTTTTTAATATATAATATATTTAACATATATAGTTTTTTTATAATATAACAAATATTATTGGAGCAGTCTTATTATTAATTTGTTTGTATGTAAGGTCATGTGGCTATATGTTGCATAAACGTGTGTGTGACTGTGTGTCTAACCTGTCCTGCAGGTTCTTCTTCATGCCTTCTGCTTCGTCCAGCTTGCTCTGAGCATGCTGCAGCTCTTTGAAAAGCGTCATCATCTGAGATTTGAGATTCTCCACCTCCGACGCTGTCTGAATATTTCCAGAATGGGACACAAACATTACACAGAGGGGATTAAACATTTCGCATAAAAATATTTTTTGTAAAGATCTATGAAGAATTTAGTAAAAAAAAAACCTTTTCTTCCATCCCAGAATTCTCCTTGGTCTCTGTGGTGTCTGGCTGGGTTGTCTGTGTGGATTTGTCTTCACTACTCTTCCTCTCCTCCAGCTCTCTAACTCTGTTGTGACAAATTTCAAGAGGTCATAATCATAATGTGAACTAAATGCCATTACTGCAAAATAAAGTGTTCTTTAATGCTTAAGTCATCGAACCTGGCAGCAGCATCCTGCAGCTCTGCCTTCAGCTGATCGGCCCGCTGGGTCTCGTTCCTCAGCAACTGCAGCAACTGGCTCACCGTCACCTCCTTGTTGCTGTCCAGCCGGGATGCCGTCATGCTCATGTCCAGATGCCTGCCGCGCTCTGTGCCGCACACATTGTGCACGCCATCAATTTCTCCATCCTTGGAAGAAAAACACCCATTTAGATGCAGGACTTTAGTTTACGACCATAATCACAGAATGAAACCTGATTTGGAGGCACAATGCCAACTGCAGGGTTGATGAACACTACCCTGAGTTAGAATTACAGTTGTATGCATCTGACCTCCCGCCACCTCTGATAAATTGCATTCATAAAACATGAGGTCACAGTAACCTTGACATGTGACGATTGACCCCCCAAACCCTATTTGATTCATCCATAAGCCCAAGTGAACCTTTGTGCCAAATTTGAAGAAATAGCCTTAAAAGAATCTTGAGATATCTCAACTGTTAAAGAGGCCAAAAAACTGTTTTGATTTTCTTGACTTTGACCTTTGACCACAAAAATCTCATCAATTCAGTTTCAGTTCCAAGTGAAACTCTACATCATATTTCAAGAATTTCTCTCATGACATTCCTGACATAGCTCATTCATGAGTGGGACTGCACAAACCTGAAAACATAGGTTCTAGTTTCTCCCATAATAAAAGAAAATGATTTTCATATGTGCGTCTTTCTAATTTCTTTTAATATATGCAAAGGTTTTCCATCTCACCGAGACCCTGATGATCTCTATGAAGGAGTCGTCCTGCGAGTCCTCCTCCGCCTTCAGCTGCAGCTCAGAGTTCATGGCCACTAGGTCGTTCTTCTCCGCCTGCAGGCGAGCAACATGGGCACGCAGGGCATCCACCTCCAAACTGTGATTGGACGATTTTGCCTGGCGACAACATCACATGTCACCAGTGTTAATTTGATTATAATTCAGTAGCTTAATCTAATGTAACACAGGAACATAATGTGTCTCTCAGCTGCTCCAATCCACCCTCACCTGACTTCCTCCTGGGGCTCCTCCTCCTGCTCTCCCCGCCTCCTCCAACCTCCTGCTCAGCTCCTGGTTGTGGCGAGTCAGCTCCTCCATGCGGCCATGAGCCTCCTTCAGCCTGCTCTCCAGGAAGTCCCGCTCCTCCCGCTGCTTCTCCCTCCACGCAGATAGACCCTCGAAGCGCTCCTTCATCATCAGGTTGGTCTGACGCAGGGCCTCTGGAGACAAGAGACAGACAGGAAGTTTGAATAAATGCACATTGTACTGAATTACATTCCTTTCCACACAGTGTCATTACACTTCAGCATCAGCAAAACAATCTGACTTTTGACGCAAGACGGCAAAGACAGTCCAGATAATGACTTGGACAGAGTTCTTCTTTGTTTAATGCTGCAGCAACAACAACTGTCCACTCAAACATGAGCCTCCTGCTCTGACCACAACATCCTCGTCCCTCACTCTCACCTTTCAGGTCCCGGTTCTCCTGGATGAGTTTGTTCATCTGCAGCAGCGTGTCCTCCAGCGGGCCCGGCTGACTGGGAGAGCGAGGGAGGTCGCCATTTATAACAGGGCCTTCAGACGCCATGATGCTGAGAAGGAAGAAAAGAAGAAGAGACAGAGATTTTAGATCGTGCAGGTTCTTTAGATGCTGATTTAATCAGACTGACATGATAAATAACAGAGAAAAGAACGTGTTAGTACCAGCCACAAAGAAGTATCAATTATTATTATATTATATCATCATTACATTACTATGATAATATTTTATTATCATGACACTATCATTGCATCATATATTTACTATCAATACTATTTATACGATGTTCTCTTCCCTGGCTCTACACACTATTCTGTCCAGACCCACTATTTATCACTGAACCCTTTTCATTTGATCAAATATATCATCTGTCCATCTGACCTTTGTCACTCCTTGTTATTTTGCTTGTTCAATCCCTGTTTACTTTTGGTTTAGGAGCCGCTCCTCGTGTCAATGTTAAGTATTTAAATATAACGGGCTTATTCTACAATTCAGGTGGTTCCACGTTAGTGAAAACATCACTAGGATTATTTTATATCCATTTTCTCCTGATAGATCCCTTTCACCTAAATCTGACACACTGGACCTTTAACTATGATCCACTTTGTCTCCATGTTGACAGGAGCCAGTGAGTCAGTGATTCAGCTACAGACAAGGAGTGATCTCAGCAGCAGGTCACATGACTGTTCAATCATTCATTAATGAAGGAGCTGGGTCTGTCTTCACACACTGACTGAAAGTCTCAGATAAATGACACATCAGTAATAATAATGGAGGACAGGTCAGGCCAGTCCCTCTGTGAACACGACAGTGAGACACAGAGGGAGAAGCACCAGTTTGAAATCGTTGTGTTACGCCACAGATTCACGGTCTCCACGGGTTTAACGTGGTGGAAACATCAGCTGTTGTGTTCGATCCCTCTCCTCCGTGGGCCTGTCCACTGTGCCCCTGCTGCCACTCACAGAAAAGTTCAACACAACACGGAACACGAGTCCGAACTAACTGCGTCACAGGACAGGTCGAAGGGTTCTTAAGGGGTTTCACTCACCTGCTGTCGGTGCTGCGGAGCTAAACAAGGCGAGGGTCCACAGCGTGTCCACAGATCACAGACATGGAGACACTGACATACACAAGCGTCCCACGATCCAGAGCTCGGTGCTGACGTCAATTCGCGAGCAGCAACACGGCACTTCCGGGAGAGGATTTCAATAATAAGATGACACGTGGTTGCGTCTGGAGAGGATAGAATGGATGAACCTTTAGGAACATATTCAATAAATGTTTTTAAAGGAAATGTTTGATAAATGATTTAAAGAAACAATTTATCATTTTACTTTTTACTGTGATGTTATGTAGTTGTTAAGGCTACTATACATGCTAACACTGTCATTAAACAAAACGATAGTTCATTTGCATGATCAAAGTTGAGTTTTGAGGTAAAAACAAATGCAAGAGGATTTTGGTGTTGATCTTAACTTTTTACATTCACTGGGTTTTTGGTTGTTTTGGCCTGAGATCATAGACTGTATATAAAGAGCCTGAGATGTATTCTTTATACAAACAATAAAATATGGCTTAAATGTGGCTTGAGTCTTCCATAACGAGAACTGATGTGACAGACAGTAGTAACAAAGAAAGACCTGCTTACATTTGAAAATACATTTATAAACTGTTATTTTGATGCTAACCCACAATGTGAATTCTCAATTTAACATTGAAAGCGATTTTATCTAAGTCAAAGATTGTAGTAAAGTAAGTTCACTGAAAAAGCTGGAAATAGTTATTCAGATCAACATGATCCATTGTACTAAATAACCGTCTGGTTTCGGTTATTTTATTTTTCACGCTCACTTTTCTCACTTCCTGTCCACACTGGTCTGATCATCGGGGTGTTGACGCAGCTCTGACTCGCGTGGATTTCTGCAAGGGTTTTCATTTCCTTGAAGTGACGTCACGCAGCAGCACAGACGTGTATATAAGGCGCAGCAGCGTCTGTAGCGGAGCAGCAGCGTCACAGGTTCATCCACATGGTTTATGTCTCAGCTGCAGGCTGACAGCTGGGGGCGGGGCCTGCTGTCAGCGGGATTTCCCTGCAGGAGTCACCTTGCACTTGGAGAGGGGAGGAGCTGGAGTTTCCCTGAAAAACACTGCACAGTCATCGCTTATATAAATATAAATATATATTAAATTATACAGGAAACATTATACAGCCAATCCCGGCGGAATATCTACCCATGCAAAAACAAATATTAGACTGTAAGGGAATATGTACTCAGGTAATTGGTGTGAAATACCAGTTTTGCCTCTTTTATTTGTATTTATTTCCATAGCAACCTTTCAATCAACATTTGTTACGCACAAGAAAAATAAGCAAACGTTGCTGTTTACTACAACTTCCACTAGATGGCAGTAATGCCCAAGCAAACCGTACATGACATGCCTGATGGTGGGTGGACTGATGAAGAGTTTTATCATCCTCATCACTTGTGTTTTCAGTGGAGTAATATTGTCAGAGAGAGGAGTATGTCCATGATATAGACATTGATCACATGACAACCTCCTCACAATCCCAGACATCTACTGGGGTCCCACAGGTCCCACTGAGCCCCCAGCAGAAGGCTGTTAAATCCCTCTGAAGCCCCTGAATCCAGGACCAGGACCATCACTGTTCCTCCAACACCTTCTCTTATCATGGACTTAACGCTGACCTGGATCAGGAATCTCTGAAACCAGGAGTGGAGGAACTGCTCAAAGATTTTACTCAAGTAAAAGTACAAATAAATAGGCAAACATGTACGCAAATAAAATTAAAAGTCCCACATTATCTTTTCTACTTCAGTAAAAGTAATTAAGTACTCCCTTTTGAATATACTTAAAGTATTACAAGTAAAAGTACTTGCTGACTGTAGCCTGTTATTGAATGCAGCAGTCTACTACATCATATACTGTAAATAGTGTATTGCAAGAATAGTCATGAATAGTCGTGAACATGTGACACAATGCATTGTAAAAATATAATGGAGTAGAAACTACAGATATTTGGTGATAGATGAAGTAGAGTAAAAGTGGAAAGTACCTGATAATAAATATACTTAAGGTAAAGTATGATACATGAAAAATGAAGTAAACATTCTTCATTACATCCCACCATTGCCTGAAACCTACTCACCTACATGTAAGTCCACTTCAGGGACTTCAAGTGTCCCCTGATACACAGAACTTAGGACACTTGAAATCCCCCTTGATTTTTTTCCCCTCCATGATGCTTTCAAATGCCTATTGAGGAAGAAATGATTTCTAAAAAAGAGCCACTTGCAGGTTTGAGAGCAGTGAATTGATATATTGGAAGAATTTTGCATTTATTGAATTGGGTTTATGAGTATGTGTCTAAGAACATTATCTAGATCAGCAAGTTCAAAATAGAGTTCATCACACACAACCTAAACAAATAGCACTGTGATGCAGTGAACGTCCCACAAGGAAACCTCAGTTGTCAGAGAGTCTCACCAGACCGTGAACGCAGCACCGGTGCGCTCTGCAGAAGCTGCTCTCGCTCCTGCAGCAGCAGAGGAGAGAGAAACTCCACGAACACAACAGGTTGGAGCTGTTTGACTTTCTGCGCATTGATATTTTCATTCTATAGTTTTTCATAAAGTGAAATAGTGAAAAATGCAAATCTCTGCAAGGTTGATGCTCGCATGTAGTGTGGAAATTTGACTTTCGGTATTTTTGGTTAAGTAGAGCATCCTGAAGAGGTCAGGTAACCATCACAAGTGCTGACTTCTTTAATAAAACTTTTTATACACAATACTTGGAGCCGCATCACTTTCCAGGGTGTCCAGGGACTTCTTCGAGATGTTCTCCGCGACTCTCCTCCTCACTGCGCTCTGCGTCTTTGCGCACATGGACACTTTTACGCACGGCTGCCAGCTGCCCTCCGAGTGGCGGCCGCTGAGCGAGGGCTGCCGAGCGGAGCTGGCGGAGATCATCGTGTACGCCCGGGTCCTGGCGCTCCACCGGGAGCCCCTAGGCGGCGGGGCGGGCAGCCTGTACAACTCGCTGTCCTTCGGGTTCGGGTACGGCTACGAGGGCGCAGAGGAAGGGCTGCTGTACTCGGCGGAGGTGGAGCTGCTGTGCGACCAGGCTTGGGGCAGCATGCTGGAGGTACCATCCGGATCCAGGCTCAATCTCACTGGGCTGGGGTACCTGTCCTGCCAGTCCCACACGGTGATGGAGAACTACTCCTACTTCTTCTTCCTCAGGTGAGGATGCAAGGCCTGGACACACACACACACA